ACGCCTGCGCAAGCAAAACCCACACTTCCACCAAACAAAAAAAGGGATGAAGTGGGCAAAAAGGGGGGCTTCGAAACGACGAGAGGAGGTTTGTGCACAACGAAGTCATAATTAGCTTGCGCTTGGCCCGGCAGGTAGGAAGGCCGTTGATTAAGCAAAACATGCGTCCTGTCCTGAATCCAGACCGTAAGACGTACGCAAGTCGACAAGCAAAAGCGATCAATCACATCCTTCGCACTCAGTTAACAACACGATTACATAGATAGAAGCTATCGCCCCCTCACACACAGAGAGAGAGAGAGAGAGAGAGAGAGAGAGAGAAGGGTGGGCAGAGAAAGAAGAGGGACAGAGAGAGAGGGAGAAGGGAGCAAAAGGGAGGAGAAGAGCAACACACACACACACACACACACACACACACACACACACACACAGAGAGAGAGAGATGAGGGAGGACGAGAACGAAGAGAACAAGGGATTCACATCCCGAACCTCTCCATCATCTGTTAGGCTCCACTCCCTCCCTCATATTACCTACATTGATAATAAGTCCCGGGGAGTCAAAACACTGCAGCACAGGCGCTCGGTGCCATCACACACGTCCCTAACGAGTGGGGAAAAAAAAAAAAAAAAAAAAAAAAAAAAAAAAAACATCAAACGTCCCACTCTCGTACCCATCCTTGTGATCATAACACTCTGTGCGCTCCCACGTTCAACTCCTCCGGTCCGGACGCTACCCCTACCCCTACCCCTACCCCGGACGTATTCGCCGCCCCCCCCTCCAACCCCATCACCGCCTACACCTCTGCACTTACCCCCCCCCATCATCCCCCCATCACCCCCCCCCATAATCGCCACCTCTACCTCCTACCCACTCTCGCGATGATGGGGCAAAATACCGTAAGTGCACAAGTACAGAGGGCGGTGCCGCGGCGATGATGTTGGGTCGGTCACCCAACCTATGTTGGGTCACCCACCCTATGTTGCGTCACCCCACCTATGTTGGGTCACCCACCCTGTCACAACCTGTCTTTTCTTTCTTTCTCTTTTGACGACAGAGAGGGTACAACTGTTGGCACTTCGGATGGGGATGGTTCGTTGGACAGGTCGCTGTCACACGGGTTGGACGTGACTGTCACACAGTGGTTTTCAGTTTGATAAGTGCGCTTCGCTCCAGTCACGACTTACTGGTAATAAGTGCCCTATAAACAAACGTCGTCGTTGTTACTCCCAAACACTCACCGTCCTTCTCTTCCTCCTCTTCGTCCTTCTTGCTGGGCTCTTGCCGCTCTGTGAAGGGGTCGCGTTTCTCCTGCGTGCCCCTTGCATCAGGACTCGCCTCGCATCGTCCAACCCCGTATACCCACCCTTTCCCCCCCC